TACTGTCGAAATATCGGTGATGTTTAGGTGTTGGGTAACATAACATCCCTCGCACTCGGTCAATTCAACAATTCCTCACCCCTTGTACTCGCTGCTAAGCCGGAACGCTCACTGGAAGCGTGGCATCGCACCTTCGGGCATCTTAGTCCAAGCTCTGTGAAAGATTTAGCAAACAAGGACATGGTGAACGGAATGAAGATAGCACCGAATTCCCCCGAGATCAAACAATGTGTTACCTGTATCCAGGCGAAACAACACATTGAGCCATTTCCTAAGACAACTCAGCGCGAGTTCACGGAAATCGGTGAGATGACGTATACAGACATCTGGGGACCTGCTCGCACGCCCAGAGCCCGAGGCGAGCACTATTACATCTCTTTTACGGACGCTGCTAAACAATATCGCAAACTCTTCACGATGAAGAAAAAATCAGAAGCCGGCCAGAACATCATGAGCTATGTCGAGTTCATACTTACGCAGTTTGGAAAACGCTGCAAGAGAATTAAATTCGATCTCGGTGGCGAGTTTGTCAACAAGGACCTGCTCCAGAAACTAGCCACCAAGGGCATCCAAATCGAACCGACTGCTCCTTACTCACCACAGCAAAATGGTGTTTTGGAGCGATTAAACCGCACAATCCTCGAGTGCGCCCGCGCTATGCTTGTCGCATATGATCTCCCGCACTTCCTGTGGCCCCAGGCTGTCACATATGCAGCGTACATCATAAATCGCTGATAAGCCGTGAAATGGAACACCATTGAAATGTCATTAATTTTGTGATTTCATAACATGGTTTACATGGAATGCACATCTCAGGATTAACATGAGTCCTGAATGGTTAATCAAGGCATTACCCACCATGGACCATTGCGAGTCTATCCGAGATCCACTTGCCAGAAACCACACACACTGGTTTAAGGGTTCACAACAATGGATATCATGTTTAATTTACTGGATTAACATGACTGTGGGGCCTACAAATATAAGGGAGCTTTAATATCCACTCTGGGAATTAAGTGTCCAATGGGCATGGGCGGAATTGTGGATTAACTCACCTTGTTGTGGTTGATTTGTCTAATTCTGGCAGCGTGTGCGATCACATGATGATCTACATGGCCTAGAACTGGAACTCGCGATCGCCAAACCGATCATTGTTGCTATCCCAATTTGGGTTCCAACTTTGGGTAGGATTGGTGAGAGCATATCTCAACAACCACTTGATGGATTAGGGAGTTTAGGGTCTCTATGAAGAGCTGGGACCCAACGCTTCCTAAATCTGAAGGTCCTAGTTGGAGGACATTACTAGTTGACTTGATAATTTAATCGCACCCAGACTTGATTGGGATTAATGAGTCAAGGCAACACATCTGAAACAAGGAGTTAATAGCGAAGATCCTATAGAATTACTGGTCATGTGTAGATCGGGTTAGTAACTCAAGTGTAATCACATGTAGTGTAATAGTACAGTTAGGGTGTGACACGGGCGATGTTTTGTATGTACAGCACTGGATCTTTGCCCTAGCTAGGACAGGCCGCGACTTAGTGTCTAGCTTGTTTTAAGGCCTTGGTTCCTACGGGAACCAATGCCTTAGCTAGAGCGACATTGAGTTGGGGACCCATCCGTTTTAAAGGCATAGATCCAGGCTTGTCACTCAATGTTCACCTTGGTGCAATGTAGCAAGTTATAAAATCTGCCTGTGGTTTAACCACTGTCTGAATTGGGATTGTTAGATTTATGGAAATGTCGGATTAAGGGATTGACGGAATTATGGTCTTGTCAGAGTTTCTGGGATATTGCCCACTACAGTGTTTTGTGCGCCTTGGACCTATGCAGTCCTTGGGTACATAACTCCAGAGTATGCCTTGGACCAGTGTCGTTCAAGGGTACAAAGCTGTGGAAGCTTTAAATCCAACCTTTAGCGCGAAGAGAGCATTTCTTGGTTTAAGCCAAAGAGTCTTAATTCCACTAAATCCTAGCACGCTCTCTAAGGATCTCCTTGTTCAAGAAGATCTTAATAGTAGTAGCAACCCAGCCTTGAGTATCTGTGTTCCCTGGACCTTTTTAAAGTGTCCAAAAGACCCGTTACTCGTCAGTACAAGTCTATACTTTGAACCAGGAAGAAAGGTTGTAGAGTTTGGTTAATAGTTGTGGATTAGTGGTTATTTCCTTCAGGGATTAAGCACTGAGCTGCATTCTGCTCGTCGGATTCTAGAGCACGAGTATTTCAGTAGTAGACACCGAGCTACCCGTTCATCGCTCACCTACTGTCTCGCTCAAAGGGAATATCACACCATACAAGGCGTTATGGGGAATTAAACCTGATGTTTCAAAACTCCAGGAGTTTGGAGTGAACTGTTGGGTACTTATACAAGGTCAGAATCAATCTAAAATTTCAGGAAAATCGAAGCCTTACCAGTTTGTTGGTCTTACAGACGACACAGCTGCCTGGCAATACCGCGTACCGCAAACCCGGAAAATACTTATGTCTCGCAACATTATCTTTGATAATCCATGCGACGACTATGCCCCGGCTACCCCTAGCGACCCGATCCAGCTCGAGGGGGAGAGTAAGGATAGCGAGCCTGAATCGGCTCCAAATCAGCAAACTCTGCCGGCAACACCAACGGTAAACGCGCCTACATCAATCTCTGACCCACAGCCTTCCCCACCATCAAGCGGCCAACAATCTACGTCTGTGTCTGCTCCGAAAGCACGCAACATAATGAAAATGCCGCCACGCGAGCCGCGACCATCCCAAACAGCAACACAAGGTCCGAAAGTCTATAATCCAGACCAGTATTATCGCTCTCTTCGTCACCGAGAACCTGACGAGCACGACGAGCGAGACACGGCTAATGTAGCCATTTACGATGAACCATCCTCCTACCAGCAAGCTACGCAGCACCCAGCCGCCAACGACTGGCGGAAAGCGATGGTGTCTGAACTCGATCAGTTGGATGAACTTGGAACGTTCACTCTGACAGAGCTCCCAGCTGGACGGAAAGCACTGGGCAGCAAATGGGTATATAGGAACAAGACAGACAACATGGGAGAAATTGCGCGCTGCAAGGCATGTCTGGTAATTCTGGGAAACTCCGCTATTCCTGGAACAGACTATAATCCTGATCACATTTCGTCGCCCGTTGTTTGGGCCGAAACAAATTGTCTTCTTCTCGCTCTTGCCGCACGCTACAACCTCGAAATGCGAACCGTCGATGTCAAGGGTGCTTATCTCAATGGCACCTTGAAGGAAGAAATATATATGAAACAACCTGAAGGTTTTTCCAACGGTACTTCCCGTGTGTGGCGACTTCACAAAACCCTCTACAGTCTTCCACAGTCAGGACGAGAATGGAACCCTAACCCTCGCCACCGTCGTGGAGCAGGTGGAGGACGCCGATATTCGCCTGTCAAGAGACGTGCAATCCCGCGTTTTCAGTCACCACATGCACATGACCCTGCATCCGAATCCAATCCGTGACAATGCCTACAAGCTGATGATTTACACATCGAATCGGAAATGGGGAAACAAGAGTGGCTTCGCGGATACTCTTCGCCAGAAGTTGGGGTGGCAACCACCTGGCGCCAAAGCTGTCCTATTCACTTATCGATTAATCGTGGGATCCCCCCCGGACTACAGTCTATCTTGGACCAGGGTGTCAGCGGTTCCCGCCGTGCCCCAAATCATTCCCCCAATATCGTACGCGGGGTATGCGGTGGTTTGGACAGATAGGTACACCAGAGAAGCCCAAGTTGTTGATGCTCATTTACCTAGGCCGCGCCGAAAACTCTTGACGGGCTGGGTTAAGCAAGCGATACGCGAAATAGTGGTGTTACCGAGACGGTCGAACCATGTGAGCCTATCTTTGTCCGCTGGCAGTGTAATCCGTGTGGAGGATCAACATATCACAATATCTCATTATGCTTAATGTACAACTTTTTGTTTTTTGGATCCAAAGTTACAGATGGGGCGGCGCTGACCAAAGAATCGGACACTTCTCTTTTTTTTTGTTTTCATGAAGGTAGCCTGCATATTGAATGCTTCTATTCATTACCAGAGGAAAGACAAAACAAAGCTCTGCCTCAGCCCCGATCAAACAAGCCGGCTGCGGTGAAAGAAAGGTTCTTCGTTTCTCGGGCATCTCGGCTCCATAACCGAAATTCAACCAAGTCAGCAGCCGGGCCGTTGACTTATTATGACCATTAACCTGCGAATCCCGCTCAGACGCCGCCCCTTGTCCACCAGATGTGGGGAATGACTCCGAATGAGCAACCGGCACGGAAAAAAAGTAAAAGAAAGACAAGTCAGCTCTATGTAATCGCTCAGCCCCGAATCGAACGGAAGGCTGTACAATATAACTTTTCATTCTCGATTAACAGCAGTAGATGCACAACCATGCGCCACCGAGCCAGCAGTGGATCTGAAGGAATAACTTGAATCTCAGATGACGGAGTCATCCGATTCAGGAAGCTCGGACATCTCGGTGCTCTCAAAAAAAAAAAAAAAAAAAACCCTTCAACCGCCGAACCGAAATCCAGCTAAGTCAACCTCATTGACGTCACATATGGTTCACCTTGTCTTCCAGATGTGAGCAGACGATCGAGCCGCAAAAATAGTAAGATCAAAGAAAAATATGATCTTAATGTATGACCCAGCTCCATCGAACGGGAGTCTCTGCCAAATAAATTGCAACCGAAATCAGCATAGGGAGACGCGCAACCATACTCCTACGAGCCAGCAGTTGCAGTAGGTGTGAACTGACAACCTACATTGGGCAACTCAGGCGGTCAAAGAATGAGACACCTGCTCGGGCATCTCGGTATCCGCAGTTGATGTTTAAACTCTTCCAAAGTCAACAACGGGCCACTGACTTTGTTGTATGCATCAAGTGTAATTGAATCCCATTCAGATACCTGTGCTGGTCCACCAGATGTGGTCATGGGAGGACGAGCGAGGCAGACAAAAAGAAATCAAAAAAATCGACGATCTTTACCCTCACGGCTCAGCCCCGATTCGAACAGGGATCTCTATGTATATCTTCCCACATTTTGTCCCGGCCAATAGCAATAGATGCGCAGCCATGCGCCACCGAGCCGATGGGAGGTATAAGTACTACAAAATATCGACCAAGGAGTGATACTCGAACGCGGAAGTTCACAGACTCAAATCACACATTCAACGAGACAGATAAAAAGACAATTCATTTTACTTCTCACGCTATCGTACAAGAATAACGACCACTCTAAACGGGCTTGTTGGCCTCCTTCTTGGCTTGACCGGCGGTTTCTTGCGCCTTGCCTGGAAACGCGAGTCAGCGCGGGGGAACAAGAATGGAAGAGATGAAGACGAGGGGAGGCGAGGGTGGAGTGGAAGAGCGGGAAAGTGTAAGGAACAACGGAAGAGCGGAACTCACCAGAAGCCTCTTTCGTCGAGTCACCCATCATGGAGCCCATCACCGCGTTGACCTTGCCGGCCACTTGGTTGTACAAGCCATCGGCAGCATCCGCGGTCTGTGCCGTCTTCTTCTCGGTCTCGCCCTGAAGGAACGTCGTCAGCGGCGGGTCAAAAGATAACATGATGAAGGGAATCTCACCTCGGCGTGCTGCTGTTTGCCCTCGTTCTGCATCGACTTCGACCCGACGGCGCCGCCGACCTGCACAGTTGTGAGCTGCACGCAACAATGAGCTAGAAAGTGAGCGCGACTTACCATCTCTTTCGCGCTACCCATCATGCTGTTGGCGCCGCCGTTGGTTTGGCTGTAAAGGCGAGTCAGTATTGATCAGGAGCGCAAGGGCGGGAGACAGTGGAGACGTAGATGGTGCGCATGGGAAGATAAGAAGAGATGTGAGGCGCGGAGGGCAGGAGCAGGGTGTGGAGCAGTGACGCGACGAGGAATAAGAAAGGATGCCGCTAACGACAAGCACGCACGTTACAGACGATGCGTGACGGCGCAAAGAAGACGAAATGGAAAGAAAACGGCGCGCGAGGCTATGGGAGAGGGAATGAAACGGGGCTGAGGAGCGGGTGTGGGGCAACGACGCGGACGCCAACGACGCGCAGCACAACGAGCACGCGTGAGTTGGCGATGTCGTGCGCGTAGGGCGCCGCGACTGGTTGAGCCGTTGCGGGACATAGGCAGAGGTGCGCAAGGCTGGCGGCGGCGGCGGGCGGGCAGGAGGCGGGCCGGGAGGGCGGCAGGGTAAGAAAGGAATCAGGGAGCAAGAGCAGAGACGCCGTGTTCAGCGGAATTGGGGCCAGATTCGGAGCGCAGGGAACCAAGAGAGGGGGGGGTGTGAAAAGAGAAGGGAACGGCTTCTCGAGGGAGAACAGCAAAGAACGCAATCTGCACCTTTAAATTTGTTGTTCGAGACTTGTTTTGGGACTTTCGCCCTCTCGGCAGCGCAGCCTTCCCTCCTTCCTCGTCCATGCAATCTGCCCATAAAAACATCCGCCCTCCGATGTGCGGGTCCTAAGCACACTGCGCGTTCGATCGTCGACGTCGAGAGTGAAAATTTGAAGACAAAGAAGCGGTCTCACGTGGGCTTTAGGGCCATTGCTTCGCATGGCAGTACGAGTTCGGTTCGCTGCGCGGCTTTGTCGTCGTTGGTGTGTCTGTTGCTAATTTTAAATCAATTCTCGCTGTTTCGCACCAAGTCTGGCATCAGTTTTCGCTGATCCAAATTCGCATCAATCGTCGCTGATTCAACTCGCATCATTTATCGCGTCAATTCACGGCAATGTCCGCCATGACAAATGATCTTCGCTTACCCGACTCTGGTATACTGTAAAGGTTCATTCAATTCGGATGTCATGCGTCACAGGGCCTAAAATTTACGAATATTTTCGAGCCTGTCGCAGGTCACCGAGGGGATATTTGAATGTGCCAAAAAAAGTCACAAAATCGCGAAAAATGGCCGAAAAATCGAATTTTCGCCCACACTGCGCGTTCTGCTTGTCGAGGGGGTAACGAGAGCTTTTCTGGCAGATGTAGGACCATGAGGACCTCGGGAAGAACGCCCGTTGCGGCGAGAGCTGCGGGAATGGTGCCAAAAAAGACTTGTATAATCTGTGATTGATCTAGGTGTTTTCTTGGCATAAATTACCAACCCGTCCCCTTTAAAAGGGGCACCGAAATTTCAATGACGGCGCTAAAACTGCTTTTTTAAGAATGCCGGGATTTATGATTTTTTTCTTCTGTCACGGTCAGGACAGTTGACTTACGAAAACTCAAGTTCGGATGTACGGGTCACAGGTCACAGCTAGGAAGAATCGAATGAAACTCTACAGTATCTGGTGTATATCACGGCCACTGCTTTCTTTTGGCCGTAAGTGTGAAGATCGATAAGGTTTGGAACGCTCGCGATGTTGACCTCTGGCAAGCAATTAGCACCGGTAGTTATGCCGTCATGGAACCACATGTCTCCGCGGTCGTCTATAAATCTGCAAGTGGAATGGCTTTGACCCCCGTATATGATCCCCTTTAATTTAAGTTTTCCAAGATAACCACTGCAATCTATCTTTAATTCATGATTGAATAGCAACCTGTCACTGTTGATGTCAAACACCAGTAGTGGCGGTAAAGATGTGACTTTGGTCCTCATAACCATTTTGCATCTGACGTCGTCAAGTCTGCATTCACTGCGTTCAAGGCCCCCCTAGCCTGAGTCTGGAAAGGGGTGTATAGGTCTGTAAAGGAATGCCCAGGAGGTTGAACAGACTCTGTGTAGGTCTACTAGACTGAGCTGATCACAATTGTGGCAAAGTGTGTGTAGTGCCTGGCCAGTTGTGTATAGGTCACCTAAGCTGACCCTGTGTAGGCCAGTGCAGGTACCTAAACTCATCTCTACCCAACTACACTGGGGTCAGTCCCGTGTTTATTCAACCAAAAATTAAATTTTCAAACACCTCTGACTGTATTCCGAGAAGGTGAGTCTAGGAAGCTAGGCAGACCTAGCCTGACATATACATACCTTGGCAGACCTACGCACATCTACATACAACTACACAGAACTGGACAGAGCTACACATAGATTGTGTAGGCCCCTAGACAGATGTGGTCTGCCCAGCTAGGCATAGGAACCTTGCCAGATGGCAAGTCTAGGGGGGCCTTGAACGCAGTGATTGTCCACAAACACACTTGCCACGAGTCAAATAATCCTGGAGCCAATTCTGAAGCGGTACGCTGTCGGCAGTATTTATTCTAGTAGAATAATTCTACTGTTTAAATCGGCAGACAGATAGCATTTGAGCATACCATACGAACGGCTGTCTACGTATCCGCATACCATGCATATCTGGCGACCTGTCCCGTAGCATTTTTCATCCAAGATTGCACGAGCTATCTTGTCTATAGACGTGGTATTAGGGCCATACAGAAAAGCTGCAGGATCTGATAAGTGAAATTTTCGTCTTAATTTGTCTCTGACTTGTTCGAAAGTCATCGCACCGGCTGAAAAACGTCTCATGGTTGCAGCAAATTCAGTTAGAATTGGCCCAAGACCTCTCATACTTCCCAACGTGCGGCATCTTCGAGAAATATATTTCCTAGAATTGTGAAAGTGGCGTCATAAGTACAGCTCCAGTTCTGAGAGTCCCAGACTAGACCACGTGGTCTAGTTCGAACAGCTCTAGGGGTTGGTGCCACTCTTTCTAACACAGTATCCAGCAGATTTCAATTTTTTGGTGGGGGTACCTATCTGCTCAGTATTATTTTGGTCTGTGCTCAGTACCGCGTTTTTCCTCTTGTTTGCCGCCTCAACTGAAGGCTTCCATTCACTGTACGCAAGAGTCAGGTACTCTTGGTCCCATGGAATTATTACACCTCATGGCTGGATGGAAATGAGCAGGATCGCGGTGATGTGTTTTCCACGCGTAAAAGGATCTGATCAATCTTCTTCTATACAAGCCCGAAACTGATCTGGAAGGCTTCCCTTCGAATCGTAGTCTGGTTATTTCACCAAGCACTTCCAGCTCTCTTAGTTCTTATCGTAAGTATCCTTTCATGCCAGAAGTAACTTTTGAAGCTGAAAAACCCTGCACAATGATTGTGCCTTCCGCAGTGAGTCCTCTCGATAACGCCACATAGTAAGAACGATGATCGTTGGATTTTTAGGTCTCGATTTACCTTGAGAAGTGTAATCTGTCATTCCGAAGTTCAACAAGCACACGACCTGCTCCCTGAATACAGACAATAGTGTGTCGTCCGACAATAAAATTGTTAGGTGAGTTGAAGTGCGTACAAGTGGTACAACATTTTCAGGCAAATCAGCTATTTTAATTTTTCTAGGCGGCTTCACTAAGCGGACGAACAGAGTATCTAACACTCTTTGTTTGACCAAGAGGCCTCACTGATTCGTCCCAACCACATACTACAGCCTCCTGACCCTTTGTGATGCACAATTCAATTGCGTCGTTGGCCCTCAGCATAATAGGCATACCCATACATATTGAAAGTGTTCCAGGTATGAATTCGTTAGTAGTTGAAGGTGGTGCGTCCCACAACAACTTTTGTAGTGATTTAGACATTTTTTGATGTCCGGCTGTAGGCAGGTTTTCCACTTTGACTTATCAACTGCTCTAGGGCTGGTTCTATCCACAGAACAAAAATGGTGCAATATTTGGTTGGTGTCTTTAGCGAAACGTGCGGCTCCTAATTTACTCAAGGTGTCCTTCTGACTGTTTCTAGCTGTAATAATTGATACGTTTCTGACGTCCCTTCCGCTTAATTTTGGGTTTTCCGGTCTGAAACCAGCTATTCTAGATTCAAGGAATTCAATGTCGTCCATGCAAGCTCCACACCGCATATTTTCTAGAGCAGTTCGGAGTTCATCATCAGCTGGTGTTTGAACTTGCTGCATCATATTCTGACGAAGCATCACAACAGTGGTGAACTGATGCCACAATATATGGCCCAGAACTGTGTTCTGCTTTCTCTGATCCAAGGCTCCAGTTATTTGGAAGGAAACCTCTCCACTGTAAAGGGATGGCCCTGTCATGGGAGGCAACCATGCTCAGAGATCCAAAGGAATCATCATGTATATTTCTCGCTTTAGCTGCGTGTGTAGCTAACATCTGAAAATTGTTGCAAGAAACTAT